CCTTTGCCCATATTTGGGACATGGAGTGAAGGTGCCTAGGAGCTTCTCAGATCAGTTTTGGGTTGTGATGCCCAAGGACTTCTGTGTCTCTCAAGACCTGGAACCTTGCTTTTGAGAGTGGTATGGCACTTTTTTGGCTAAGAGGTGTCACACTCAAAGACAAAGGGCAACAGGAAGTTATTACTAACATTATTTTTACACCCAAGGGGTATGAGTAGCTACAGCCACAGCCATACATCCAGGAAGGAAGTGTCCCAAATCCCAGCTCCTCTGCCAGAAGATTTCAGACCTGCCAGTCCTGTGCTCCTTAGAGATACTCATACTAGACTTCTTGGTATCGGGTGTTGTCAGGCATTTCTGATACTCAGTGCTTCCAGGGTTCATCCAGGGCTTCATGTTTTGTGAGCACACATTTCCCACCCTGTCAACTGCCACCTCCACCATCTTCCTCCCTGACACTTCTCTCTCACTTCACTCCTTCGGCTCTGTAGTCTCAGGCTCTGCCCCTGGACACTTTGGCACATGCATCCCCTCAGTACCTGTCATCTTCTGAAAGACACTCACCTTGGCCTGGAACTAGAAGAGCTAAGAGCCCACAGGCCACAGCACTCAGCAGGGGAAGAAGGCCATCCAGCTGCATGGTCAGTTTGTCTGTGTGTCCTGTGCTGCTGGGGATGCACTTTCTTTTGCCCACAGGCAGTCTTACTGCAGTGTGGCCCAGGTTGGAGTTTGAACCCAGCATGGAGGTGAGGCCAGACAAGGTGGGTGCTACCGGGGAGTGGCACTGATTGGGCAGAGGTCACAGGGAGCCAGTGGCCCAACTGCCTCTCTTCTGCCTTGGCCTTTTTCAGCATCCTTTGAAGGTACTTTGGAGGCACTAGGGACCCTTTCTTCAATCCTGGGATCACTGAGTCCACATTTTTGCAGTCACAGGCATGACTGGGGCTGTCAACTGAAAGGAGAAAGAAACTGTAATTAGAGAACCTGATACCACTTCTCTAAGGAGGTTTCACATGAGGACCCCAGAGAGGTAGACAGGGAGGTAGTTTTGATGCAGCTGAAGGGAACAGCTTGACAGAGGCAGAGGTGAGAATGTGCCCTTCATCCTCAAGGGTCCTCTTTGCCTCCTGCACTCGCAGTGACTGGGTTCCCCTCAAGGTTCCTCGTCTCCTCATAGCTTGGTCTGGGGATCTCTAACCTCTGTGCCCTCCCTATTTTGCCATGAGTGTTTGATGCACACACACTGGAGACTCTGACAGTACTTTATTTCCCCCTACCATACTGGAGATTGAGCCCAGGGCATGGCACTGAGCTAAATTCTTGATGTCTTTTATTTTATAAGACAGGGTCTCTCTAAGGTGCTACTTTGCCCAGGCTGGGCTCAAACTTGTGATCTTCCTCCCTCAGCCTTACACAACACTGGGATGACAGATATGTGCCATCGCACGTGGCTCTGGCATGTCTCACAGATCTACGCTCTCTACTCATCTGTCCTTATCCAGTACCTCCCCTGGGCCTCACTTCTGCCAAAGTGCACAAATGGCAAAAAGCCATTTTTCCACTTGAGAAACGTGTAACTGAACCTATTGCTTCCAAAGCTGGGCACCCAGCAGGGCTCTATCCGGAGAGGTAGGACCATAACTGAGATATTGTAAGCTCTGGAAAGTCTTTCCAAGATAGAGTGAGGAGAGCAACTGCCTGGAGCGGACAGCACAGCCTGGCTTCTGGTACAGGTTCAACCTCAGGTGACCTCTGATGCCCGCTTTCAACCAGGCTTGGCCTCTTCATACAGCCTCCAATGGGCTTAGGTGCCCACAGCCCAGTGTCCTATGTTTCTGTTCTTCTCGGCCCTTTTGTGGGCCATAGTGCCCATATTACAAGTATATTGGAGTAACAAGTACATAGATGGTGACAGGATGTCTGGAGTGCCACCTGTTGTTGATTCTATGTTTCCTATCCAATTGTCACTACTCCAAGCTGTGACCCAGCCCTTACTTAGACAGATGCTTTTGCTGCCCTTCATTATCCTTACCTAACTAAGAGCTTTGCTGTGGCTGCTGAGAGATCCCCAGCTTCTCCAAGCTCAAGGTCATTGTACAAACTCTTTCACAATAACAGTATAGCACAGTGCTTCTTCCTAATCCTGGACCTGCTGTCTATCACTCCTGGAGTGAACAGCCCCATGTGCTCTGTTACTATTGCACCCTCTTACCAAAGCCCTGACATTGATGATGGCCAAGGTAATAATAAAAATGTAGAATGAAGAGGATTTTCAAGTTAATTTCCGTGTTGGGAAGAAGTTGGAAATTTACAATTGTGCTGTCCTCCCTGTCTCCATGTCCTGGATTGATAACATTAACTTTCCATAGTCATTCTGACATTTGAGAAGAGGCCAAGGGGCTGGGGACTTAGCTCAGCGGCACAGCCCTTGCCTGGCAAGTGCAATGTAGTGAGTTCAATTCCCGGTGCTTGAAAAAAAAAACAAAAACAAAGACAAAAACAAAAAAGAGAAGAGGCCAAGATGCCCGATGCCTGATTGACGGAAAAGAACACACCATAATATTTTTATATAACAAAATTGCCAAAATATTCTAAATCTTGCCACGAACTGGTGCAGCTCTTGATGTTCCTGGGGGAAAAGGGTGCAAGAAGGAAGAAATAAAAATGAGAGATGAACACTGAGGTCAGTTGGATCTGTCTCTCTGGATGGGAGGAAGGGAACTGCCAAGGACTGCTTGGTTTATTTATACACTCAGGAGCTTGATGTCAATTTCAGACTCTCTATCTAGCAACATGTTTGCAAGCTGGAACAGCTTGTTTACATGGCTGGAGGAGTTGTCCATGTTCTCAGGGCCAGTTTTGTGTTAGCTCCCCATGTGTGAGTGATTTCCAGGTTCAATTGCTCCCTATATCTCTCCCTCTTCTGTTTTGTATTTGGAAGTGATGGGTGGTCAGTTGAAACTGGAGGAGCTGTGCTCAGAGAACTCTGTAGAAGACTTTTCTTATTCTTGAATCCTTTCCATTCTGAGTGAACTTACTCATTTAGGCTAAAGATTCCCAGTCAAAAGCTTTTAGGTACTTGTATTCAACAAATTAACCCCATATAGTCCATTAATGCAGAACAGTGGTCAGCTACCAGTATAGCTGGCATTTATCAGAAGGTGTTAGTGATTTGAGTTTTTTTTTAATATCTAACGTATTATTATGGCTTTGTTTTATACATTTTGTGGTTCTACTTTTCTGCTAGATATTTAAAACCAAGTTAAGGCAAGACCTGTATTAAACAATTTTTGCTATTTATCACAGTCAGTTAAGTCTCCTCAGGATATACCATGGACAAAAGAACAACATCTCTTAGTTCTTCTGTAAGTGTTAGCCATCTGAACGAGTCATGGCCTTTGCTTGACCAGGTTGTTTTTTGTGAAAGCTCGGGAGATTTTTTTCTCTCCTTGTGACTCTCCTTAGGCACATTACACGTCATTGAATCACTCTCCTCTGTGGTCCCATAATCTGCTTAATGAGAATATCAGTTGTTCAAGCAAATTATAGCATGCCACAACAGAGGTTCTCTTATGGTCTAGGTGGTCATTGACCTTGGAAGGCTAGAGCAAAATATTGGGTATCCTCTTAGCCCATCTATCTCCCTAAGTTTTAGTCTCTACACCTCAGTTGTTGAACATCCAGAAGAGAAGATTAATGACATTACCTTGTAATGTAGGCAGTAAGCTTGATATTACTAGCTTCTCCAAATATCAAATATCTTAGAATATAAATGGGAACTATTATTTTTTAACAGTCGCAGGTATTCTAATATTTAAATCCCTATGGAATGCTAACAGACAATAGTTACATATTTTTACACAGAAATTTAGAAGTGAAAACCGTACATAACATTGCAGCATGCAATCATGATGACATTTTGTGACATACTTAAGTTTTCATTTTGACATAACATAGCCCTTTTAACAAATCATCTCTATCTAGACAGGCATTGTGCTACTGAACTATAACCCAGCCCGTTCATCTCTACCAAATACATATGAAGCTTTTACCTAATTTGTGGTCCTTTAATGGATGCACATCACAAGGTTTTTTTTTTTTTTCACAAGGTTTTTGTTAAAGGCAAAGGACTGAATCCAAAAGAAAAGACATCACCATAAGTAACACTTGTTTTACAATTTGGAAGACCTGTACATCTGGAGTTATGAATACATTTCATACACCATGAGATTAATGATAATGAATTGTCATACACATGTGAAAACCTTTGTTTCTTAATTTAGTTTTGTACTAAGAGCATCTTTTGTGAGGAAACCTCATTGTATTTTTTCTAGTAAACTTTACCTTTTGACCATGACCAAATTATTGGGGGTGTCTCCCATAAGACTATGGAGATCTTTGGGGGCTCATTATCAATGAAAAAATGTTGGCCACTCCTCTTTTCACCAATTGGAGTCCTGTCCAATAATCTCTCCCTATCCTAAGGAATTTTTGTTTAATTATCTTAATTTTTGATGACCTATGAGAAAACCAATTTTTGATAGCCTTTAGACCAGTTGGTAACCCAGGTGGAAGCATGCTTTTAAGTCTATAACCCAAATTGATTATGAACAAATGATCCAAAAATGCAAAAGAAAAAAGGAAAAGAGAAAACATTGTTGAGCTCAAATAAAAAGGAACAGCTGTTCACAGAATGGACAAACAGACAAATAAACAAATATACAGCTTAACAGGTTGAACAAACAAATATCTTGCAAAACCTGAGTGCACCCAAATACATTTTTGAACAAATTGAATTATACTAACTCTTTTACAATTTTAGAAATTTATAATTATAAATAGACTAGTCAGATTTTGTTGCTTGTCAATTAGCAGAGATCGCTTAGAAGAAGAATTTGGAAGGAATAAAATCTTCTACCTATAATTGATATACATTTGTATAGTTTATTTTAAAAATATTGGTAACTTTCAGCTCAGTTATCTCTATATACTTTATTGCCTACTCAGATATTTGATTCCCATTTTGGTTACCATCTGCTGGGCATTCTGGGTTCATTCCTTTGGTTGGCCCCAGGTTGGGTTTAGCCTCATCCTTTTTAATTTTTTTTTATTTTAAAGATAAAAGAATGAAAACATATGAACAGACACTCAGACATTTACAAAATAACACAAAAATAATGCAAGAAATACAGAATTTCAGACAAGGTGACAGGAAATTAACAATGGTGGTTGTATTACATATTGATATCTTCAAATTGGTTACTCATATAACAAATACAGGCATGTAAGATTGATCAAACAATTAAACATTAACTGTTCCTTTCAATAAAGTAAAAGAAATTGGTAGTACAGCTATCTGAGCTAACCTGTGTATACATATGCATATTTTCCCTTCCTTCTTTCTTTTCTCTTTTCCCTCATCCCAGCTTTTCTTTCCTTTTGAGCAGTTTCCTTCCCTTTCACAATATCTATTGTAACTCACAGATTTTATTCACTCATTCAGGTTCTTACACTAGTGAGACAATGTGGTGTTCACACATGCGGGTCCGATTTATTTCCCTTATGAGTATGGTCTCTAGTTGTGACCATTTACCTATAAAAGCCCCAAGTTTATCTTTCTTTATACCTGAATAATATTCC